CCAGGCACTTCCCAATCAAGAGACATATATGTCCAGATTTATCCATAGGGTCAGGTTTTATGAGTCTCATTTTACCATTGTGAAGTTCTCTTTTTGACGGATGGTTTCAGTTTGTTATTTTATTAGAAATTGTGAAATGGTGACATTCTAACTACCATTCCTTCTGCGAATTTATTAGCATCCATTCTTGGTCACCTTGGGTAAAATTCATATGCCCTCTCCGATTTTCAGTTTTCTAATGAAGAGTTGGTTCCTAGCACTCTACAAAGGTGACCAATGCATTTTTATTTATTTTTTCTTTTCTTTTTTTTAATTAGTTGCACATGACAATACAATGATCTTGACATATCATACATTTGAATCAAATGGGGTATAATTTCTCATTTTTCTGAGTGTACAGGTTGCAGAATCACATTGGTTATACAGACATGTATATAATACAGCAATACGAGTGTCTATTTTATTCTTCTGCCCTTCCTATCCCCCCTTCCCCTCCCCTCCCCTCCCCTCCCATCACTTGCCAATGCATTTTTAAGTGATTACAAATATTAAAATGGTGAAATGCTTAACATGTTCTAATCCTTTGCAGTGACTATTATTTTGGATATGGGAATTTTTCCATCCTTTGCAAGTACGAGTTTCTTTAAGTTGGGTTCTGACTCCTTTATCATGACCCTAGAATCCCTTCCTTGTCTTATGTCAGGAAGAAATGTTTCGGGAGAGGCTCCCATATTTCCTGACCCAGGCCTGTAAACCTATAGTGAGTGATTCTCTTAAGGAGCCCAGGTACCTATGAGTTGAGAGATGTCCCCAGCCTATGGCACTGTTGGGAGTTGATGGAACTTTAGGAGGTGAGACCCAGTGGTGGGCATGTCCTTGAAAGATATTGGGATCCCAGCCCTTTCCTGCATTTCTTTTTTGCTTCCTGGTTGCTATCAGGTGAGCAGCTTCTTCTCCCCACGTGCCCCCACCATGATGTAAGGCACTTCCACAGACCCAAAAACAATGGAGCCAGCCGACCATGGACCGGAACCTCCATGAGCCCAAATAAACCTTTCCTCCTTATGAGCTATCACCTCAGCCATTCTGTCCAGTTAACAGAAAGCTGGCTAGCACATACCTCCAGACTGCAGTGATGATGGAGAGAGATTCATGCATCAGTTATTTTGACCAAACCATCTCTAGGGGTTTTTCTTTCTCTTTTTCTTTACGTAATTGAACATATATGATTTGTGTTTGTCATATAACTTCCTCTTGGTTACATATGCAGCTTGAAGCATTATTTAATGTTCTTCCAAAGTATATTTCAAGGGCTTTATTGTTATTCCACTTTGTGGAAAAATTTATAGTCTTTTCAGAATTTATCCTCATTTTCTTCACTTTCAGTACTACTCTGGCAAACAAACTCTCTCAATATCTGTTTGATGCATCTCTGACTTATTTCCATTTGATCGACAGATTCAAACTCTAGACCAAAGACTATGGTAATTTCGAACTAATGACGTGATTTCTGAGTTGCTTTTCAAAGTATTGTGCCAATAACAACGCTGACAGCAGATTGTCAATTCCACACACTTTATCTGGTGTTGAGTATTATTAGTTTAAATCCTGCCCTCTTTACATATATATATTTATACATATTATAAAAATATATACCTATACATAAAATATTTATTTTATTGTTTTACTAGCTTGCAGTTCTTGTGTTTGTACTTAGTTGAACTTTTTTGTATGTTTATTTCCCTCTCACATTTCCCCTTCTGTGAATGGACTGTCCTTTATATACATTCTTTTATACAGTGTATGATTATCTTATCAATTTGAAATTCTTTACACATAAGGAAAATTTACTAACATGTGCTAGAACTGCAAATAGTTCCCTATTTTGTGATATTCTTTACATTTTACTTAATCTGAAATTCATAAGTTTTACGTTTACACTAAATAAAATGCATTGATGGTTTCCTTTGTGATTTTTTTTATTACTTTCATTTGGGTAAAACTTTCTCATCTCAATGGTCAAATATTCACATTTATTTTATTTTAGGTTTCCTATGCTTTCACTTTTCGAATTCAGATTTGCAATTTATTTTAATGTACATAAAATGCGCTGTTCTCTAACAGCCAATTTTCCCAAGTGAATTTAATGAATACTCTAGCCATTCTCTTTGATATTTCCTTTATTGCATATTAGAGTCATACAAAGATATGTGTATATAGTCACATCTATTTCTGGGACATTTTTTTGATCTATTTATCCATTTTATATGAATTGGTTAAAGTATAGTAGCTTTATAGTACATTCTAACATAGGACAAGCCCTTGAACATCTCATATTAAGGGAAACCTAACATCATCCTTCAAAACATTTCAAAATGGTACTTGCAGACCTCATGGGACCTAAGAGAGATTCTGTTGCCACAACAAGCATTTTAAACCCATTTGGCTGACTATTTTGTGATAGTCACAACAGTTAAACCACTACAATGAAAGAATAAAAATGCTAAAAAAAAATTCACAAGGAACCTTTCATTCTCTGGGTGTTCAATTTCATCTGGTTAGCTATGTGCATATAAAAGTTCAATGCCCTTAGATATACTCTCACGCTATTTTCTTTTAAAAATAAAAGTGTTCTTTCATGCATGTACTTAGAGATATTGACCTTAGACTCTCTGTGTCAGTAGTCACTTCTGTACATTGTCTCTGGCCAGATGTATTTGGAAGTGAAGCCATAGTTTCAGGTTTGGGGTCCTCAGCCTAGACAGAGATTGCCATAAGTGGCTTTCTGCCTCTGGATCACCACCAGGCCAGCGGTTTCCAGGCAGCATATTTTACACTTTAAAGAACTGAATGGCAGATGGGACACGCTGGTTATATAACTCTGGAATCTTCTGGAAAGATAAAACAGCTTTGGGAGGAATGAACTATCAATACACACAAAAACATGGTTGGATCTCAAAGTAATGAAAAAAATGGGGAAAAAAGTCAATACTGTGTGATTATATTTATATAAAATTCTAGGAAGTTTACAGAGACAGAAATACAATTAATGACTCCCTAGTGCTGGGATGAGGGTAGGGTGGGGAGAGAGAAAGGCAAGAGGAAACTTTGGGGGTGATGGATGTGTTTATTAACTCGATTGTGAAATTGTATGCCTTAAATATGTGCAATTTATTGGACAGTAAAATTTACAGTTATCTCTGGGATCTGCAGGGGATGGGTTGCAGGTATCTTCCCCAGGAAAACAAAATTCATGAATACACAAGTCCTTATATTAAATGGTGTAGTATTTGCATAGGTCCTAAGTACACCCCTCCCAGCATACTTTAAATCATCTCTAGATTACTCATAGTGCCTCATACAAAATAAGTGCTCTGTAAATAGTTGTATTGTTTAAGGAATCATGACAAGAAAAAAAAGTATGCATGTTCAGTACAGACACAATTTCTTTCCAGATACTTTCAATCTATGATTGGTTGAATCTGCAGATTCAGAAACCAAGGAGATGAAGGGTCCACTGTATGTGGTGTGTGTATGTGTGCACACTTAAAAAAAAAAAACAGGCATAGGTAGCAAGAGACAGAACAGGAAGAAGTTACAAGAAGGTGCAGGAGAGTAGAAAAGACAAGGAAATACCCAAGGATAAGGTGTTAACCTCAGTACAGCCCAGAATGGGAGTCAAAGTCCGTCGGACTTAGCAGAGCTTCTCAGACCTCACTGTGCACAAGGTGCTGGGGAGCTTGCTCACAGACAGATTCTGCCTCAGTGGGGCTGTGAGGGGCCTGAGATTCTGCATTTCTCACAAGCTCCAGACAATGCTGCTTCTGGTCTTTTGACCATTCCTTGAACCTTGGGGGTCTAGAGCATTCTGTTCAATTTGGCCTCATGAAAATCACTTGGGAGTTAAAAAACAAAATGATAAAATCCTCATGCCCTCGATCTCATCCCACTCCAGACATTCGGATCTGTTTAATCTAAAGTTCAGTCTGGGGAATCAAGAATATTTAAATCTCCCCAGATGGTTCTAATGTGCAGCCCAAGGTGTGTGAACCACCATATATATATATATATATATATATATATATATATATATATATATATATATATATATGCAAATCAGGAGGACAGAACCCCCAAAAGGTAATAGAGCTAGCAGATGAGCTAAGTCAGATCAGTATAACAAATCAATCCTGCAGTCAGAGCCAAGGTGGACTCTTTCCAAATATGCAAATGTACCTGAGTATGATTTATACCCACACAGTCATACCTTTGTTAAAGACGCTTGACTATATACACACCAGGCCTGGGAATAAGTACCACACTAATGACTAAGTAGGTAGGTGGGGAACAAGGCCTTCCTGTGACAATACCCACCAGGAAGAAAAGGCCATGACCAGGGCACACACACCTACTAACACATCCACAAGGATTTTTTATGAAAAGGAGACCACTTATGGCCTCCCTCCTCCTCCAACCTCATGGACCACAAACCAGGCATGTCAATCAAGACTGCTGTCTTCTGATGTGTCCCATATTTGTTGTTTTTTTTTTTTAAATCTCCTTCCATTCAGCTAGCTTTCTATTGATGCTAATAGGTTGGAAATTCTTTTCTGATCTGCCTTACAGATTGGTATCTGCATAATAGAATTCTGCTTCTGAAACTACTGATGCACCAGAATCCTAAAATGTTTAATGAGACTTGTCAATTTAATTGTGCTGCTTGGAACCTACTGAGAGAGGGAGAGAGAGAGAGAGAGAGAAAGAGAGAGAGAGTTTGTCAGCATTTTGCTGACAAATGTCACCATCTCCAGACTGATCTCTGCTACTGATTATTTTCACTATGGCTAAAAATATTGGGAAATGAGATGTGCTTAGTGAAACAATAGGCGTTTTTTTCTTCATTAGGTAGATTACATTGCAGTTTGGTAACAAAATCAACTTGAAAGTATTTGAAAGCAGTCTGGTTTGGTAATGGTCCTTGTGTTCAATTTCTGATGCAGAGGATGCTGTATATCTGGACAATGAGAAAGAAAGAGAAGAATATGTCCTGAATGACATCGGGGTCATTTTTTATGGAGACTTCAATGACATCAAGAGTAGAAGCTGGAGCTATGGTCAGGTGAGCCACTTAAAATTTGTCATTGTCAAGGGCATTTTTAGTTAATATATTTTTTTTGTCACATACATTACTGCTGGGTGCCATACATCGATATTAGACAGGTACAATTTCCTGCTTTTCAGGATCTAAGACTCCAAGACAGAAGGCATTGGAGTAGAGACTTATAAAGACAACTGCATAATTTATCAGCTGAAACCACATATCTTCCTCTGATGACAAATGTTACAGAGATCAGAGCTTCTGTGGATGTCATGGCTCCAATTGAGAAATACTTTGGCATCTTAGTATAATGAAATCTCATTAAGTCAACCTAGAATGGATTGAAAACCTCATTTTCTTATATTTTTTTAAAAAAGGTGTTTTTATAACAATGCAAAGAACACTGCAAGGTGTGTGTCTGACTAAAAACTTAAAAAATTATTAGTCTGAGATGCCACTAATTAAAAAAGAGTATTAGTATTTTTATCAAGGAAGGGCCATTGGACTTTTACATAGACACATGTTATCAGCTGCAACCTCAAGTTACTGTCTAGATATAAAATAGCAAATGGTATTTCCTTAAGATATTCAAGAATTCAAACTTTCAATTTGGTGTCTTTAACAATGGTGCAGATGAATAATATTTTGCTACATTTCCATACATGAATGCCTGGTCTATGATTCAAAATGCTTTTTGTTGTTGTTGTTAGCACTACAAGAAAAGGTGAATGTATGATTTCTTAGAGTTTCCTGGCTGAGATGACTGGAACTGTGCATTATTTTTCTGAGTATCTGATTACAACAAGTCACGTGATACATTCATAACTTCTGGTGCCTTGCTTTGACCTCCATATGGGATTTCCACATGTCTTTCACTCTTAGCCCCAGGCTGACCACTGGGACTCATGTCATGAACTCATTGCCACCAGCCAGCTTTGTGACAAGCTTCACCCTAACTCCTGAGAATGCCATATCTAGTGTTCAGGCTTGCCCACCTATGTTTCTGATATCCTGCCGAGCTATGATTTATGTTTTTAGATTCTTGCCTTGTTTTTAGATTCTTTCCTGGCTCCCCAGTTAAAAGCCTTCTCCTTCCTCAGAGACATCGCCTTTGACTACTGTCTGTTGTCCAGTGCCTTTATCTTAGATCCCCATTTTCTAGCCTTAAGTGATGTCTTAGTCTGTTTTCTGTTGCTATAACAGAATACCTGAGGCTGAGACTTTATAAAGGAAAAAAAAATCTATTTAGCTCATGGTTTTGGAAGCTGAGAGTCCCAGGTTGGAAAGCTCCATCTGTTCATCCTCTGGAAGGTCCCCCTAGGCTGTATCACAACATGATGGAGAAACAAAAAGAACTAGCCATGTACAGAAGGGCCCAAGCACATGGCGTGGGCTTGCTTTATAACCTGTTCTCACAAAAACTAACTCACTTGTGAGACCATTTATGGCCCTAACTTGACTCTCTTCAGATAGCTAATGGGGGGAAGTTATCAAGATAAGTAGAAAGGAAAATAAGGAGTCAGGGTCAGGGTGCTCCTGGTCAGCATGCCTTCAGGTAGGCACCCTTGATCTCAGGCCCTATGGCTACCAGCATTCAAAAGAGACCATTAGTTTAAGTCTTTCAGCCAAAAAAATAAGCCATACCCGTTGCTTGCAGAGATTCAGGGAATGGTGAACTCTGTAAATTTCTTTAACTCAAGAGCTGCTAGCATGTTCACAAACACAACGGAGATGTGTGGCTTACGAGAACCAGAAAAACGAGTTATTTATTTATTTATATATCTGAAAAACTGGTGGAAATACAGATTTACTGCACCCAGTGCATCAGTTTGAGGTATCCCCAGAGTTGATATTCTAACCAGATTCAGTACAGAAGGAGTTGGTAATTAGCCAGAAAGATGGTGGTCTCTGTCACCAGTACTCAGGTCGGTGACATGCAAGGTTCCTGTATTTAAAGTAGTCTCCTCTCGCCGTGTCCTACAGTGTAGGCAGAGACTCCCCATCTGTCCAGCTTATTAATATTTGGCCTTTATTCCTCTCGAAGACAATGCTGGTGTCCCTGTGGCCAGCATTCCTTCTAAGGAAGCTGAATTGGCTCGTGGGCTCTGCCCACGATAATGCTATCTACCTGCTCTAAGCCTAAGATATTATCTAAGTGAAACTCCCTTGGCCCTGAGGTCATCAAAGGGGTACCTTAGAGGACAGTTGCTATGTGCAGCCTCCTTCTATTGGGGGTGTAAGCTAAGTGGGCCTGAGGTACCTTTCAGTGACACACCTAGGAGCCATTTATTTTCAAGACACACAAGAACTCATGTTACTTCCAAGGTCAAAAGACTTCCGAGTGACTCTGTCAATCAGTCCTTCCTTCACCTGCAGTCATATCTTGGACAGATCTTTTAAATTAACTTGTACAATTTTTCAAAGAATTTCGAGTCAGCTCATGATCCTTGGACACATCTGCTCTCTAGTAGTTCTTTTGTATTTCTAGCATCCTTTGATGTTCCTCTGTACGTCACTGAAAAAAAATTTTATAAAGAACTTCTTTCTTCCACTTTAGCAGTTCATACTAAACATTCTGGGAGATCACTGTGTAAAAAATACACATTTTTTAGGCACTAAGTTGTGATTTTATTTTATTTTCTGTAGAGACTTTTTTTTTATATATCAGAGATTGAACCTGGGGGTGCTTAACCACTGAGTCACATTCCTAGCCCTTTTTTATTTTTTTTATTTTTAAGACAGGGTCTTGCTAAGTTACTTAGAGCCTCACTACATACAAAGCTGAGGCTGGACTCAAACTTGCAATCCTCCTGCCTTAGTCTCCAGAGTCTCCAGAATACAGAAACTATCTTGTTTTAAGAGTGGTTATTAAGTAGCTTCTCATTTTCCCCCCCAAAATAGTTTGAAGATGGCATCCTCGATGCTTGTTTGTACGTGATGGACAGAGCACAAATGGATCTTTCTGGTAGAGGGAATCCCATCAAAGTCAGCCGGGTTGGATCTGCAATGGTAAGCAACGTCTATTGATGGCTGAAAACTACCACGTGCACCACTTGCCTCAGCATAGATGTTGGTTCATTAAAAGCTGTTGAAATAGCAACTCACACTTAATAGACTTTTATTTGTGACACTCTGACTTATGACACCCTGCATAGCTCTTGAATTCTCTGAGCTTGTCATGAGCTGTAAAACAAAAAATTTATCTCAATACTGTATGTTTCTTGGGCTTCAGACAAATGCTGATGGATATCATCCTGTTTTGCAGTTATCCTTAAGAACCTCTTGCCTGGCAACTAAAAACTGACTTAAAAAAATACATCAATGACTAATCAAATGGTCCATCAATCAAACATCAAGGAGCACAAAGATGTACAAGACCCAGATTTTCTCCACATTTACACTGGTGTTAAGAGTAAACAATAAATAGCTCTATAGAATTCTAGCCTCTATAGCTGTGATATCTCACCAGAGAGCTTTATTGCTTATGAAGTGGGTATCAGTTCTGCCCAGTCATCTAATAAGGTAGGTGCAATAGGTACTCCCATGCCATTTTAAGGAAGCACGGTGATGTCAGTTTGTTAAAAACAAAGCTTCCACTAGAATCCAGGTTTATTAACTCCAAGTCTAGCCAGGTTCTACATTTCATCTACTCTTTGTAGGATATCGTGAGATGTCTTTGAGGATGCAGAGATCCTGCAGTGGGATGGCTGAAAAGGAAAAAGAATACCCATGAGTGGGAAGCTTGGAGCCAGGGTTAGAAGCAGATTAAATGGGACCCTGGGTACTCATACGCCAGCACATAGGTCTTGGTGGAAAAAATATGTATCACATTTGGTTCAGGAGCATAATATTCCTGAAAAAAAATCTTAAAACAGGCTCTATTCATACAAAGACTGAGAATTTATTCTTAGCAATGTCCTGAAGTTTTCTAAAACATTCTCCCTGGAAGAATTTTATTTTTGAGTTGAGTTTATATATTCTTTTTTTTTTGGGGGGGGAGGGGTGTTACTGGCGATTGAACTCAGGGGCACTCGACCACTGAGCCACATCCCCAGTCCTATTTTTATTTTATTTAGACACAGGGTCTCACTGAGTTGCTTAGAGCCTCACTTTTGCTGAGGCTGGGCTTTGAACTTGCAATCCTTCTGCCTCAGCCTCCCCTGAGCCACTGGGATTAGAAGCGTGTGCCCCCGTACCCAGCTATATATTCTTTTGACTTAAACAAAATCAGTATTGCTGACATACAAATATGAGTCCAAGGATGATAATGGCATATAATTTCTGGTGATGGTTTTTATTTTTTCAGGACTAAGTTACTTGTAAATTTAGGACATGTGAGGACTTAAATAGTGGAGGTGGACATTAACCCCCAAAAGTGGTTTTAGGATGAGGGTGTAGCTCAGCGGTAGACTGTGTGCTTTAACGTGGGTCAGGCCCCGAGTTCAATCCCAGCACCAAAATAAATTAAAAGGTGGCTTTGTTTTCTGTTGTTGGTTATACTACATAATGAAAAGACAATGAGTTCTAAAGACTTTGGAAATCTTATTATAATAACTGTGGATAACAATACGTATTAGACCTGCAATTGATAACTATTTTTCCTACTTCAAAAAAAATTCATTTTTTTTCTTCTTAGAAGTTACCACAACAAGTTTGCAGTGGGAAGGGAAGAGCTAGGAGTTATTAAATACAAATTAATTCCTTCCTAAGCGATATTTAATGGCATGGCTCTCATCCTAAGCTTACTCACACATTGGGTGTATTTTTACAAATACAGAAATCCCTGAAACACAAGTCAACACAGGAGGAAAGCGGAAAGGGAACATCTAACATAATGCTGTCTCTAGTGGCCTCTGGCCAAGCAGAAGTTGTTAGGTATGGAATTAAGCCAGAAATGCTATTGCAAATTGCCTTGAATTTTTTTTTTTTTTAATTACAAACAGCCTATGAAGTTCTAATTTGGAAAATGTATATCCCCAGTTACAAGGTTTGGAATTAGAGAGTCTGTCTGGGCAATGGTTTGGCTCTGGTTGGATTTGGCTTTTGGAAGGGGAGACCATGTAAGTTAAGGGGTAGAGCATCTCTACTCTTACCTGACCGATTTTAAGCCACATCTCTAGTTCCTTATCCTTGTTCACACACAGAGAAATTGTGATGGCTTGCAAAACCCTTTCACATCTGTGATCTCCTTCAATCCTTGCAATAGCTCTGTGAGTAGTTCCAACATCTATTCGGTTATGGTGATTTTTAAAAACTAAAATATTGAGCCTCCAAAAAGAGAAAACAACCCTAAGAAAAAAGCATCAACTGGTTTTTAATCCTTCAGGCCGTTGGGCTCCTTGTTCACAAATCCTTGAAATTCAAAATTTCGGAAGTGAAATTTCATGAAATTTGAAATTTCTTAAAATCATGAAAATTCTGAGTGCAGTTAAACAAAGATCTTGGGGAGGGGAAAACCCTTCAAATTTCTCAAAGGTTTGCCTTAAAATATGAAAAGATGTATTTAGAAAACCCAGCAAGAGCTCTGAGTTAAAGAGTCTAGCAGGAATCCAGATTCACAGGAAGGACAGGCCTCTGTATGCTCTCCAGGTATGAGGCCCAGGCTTCAGGAGCAACAGAGCTTGATGCACCAGGTGTTTTTGTTTTTATCCTGAGTCCCTCTCAAATGCTTCACAGCCTGTCACAGAGTCTGGAATTCCTCTCACAGAAAAACCGACCCTCAGAAAGAGATGCATGTGACACACCAATCCTCCCGGAGGTGGGACACAGTGACGTCAGTGCATGCCGAGAGGAGGGCAATGGCAGGCAGACTTTCCTAAGAGCAGCCGATGCCAGGAAGGAATGGGCACAAACAGCCCTGCCCTCGTTGGGTACCTGAAGAAAATGGAGCTGAGTAGGGGCAAGGAGCACATGACCTGGGGCCCTCGGAAAAATTGACTTACTGTGGTCATGGCTGATTCTGGCAGCCATGAAGTTTATCATGAAGTTTTCTTTCAAAGCAAAGTAACAGCAACCCAAAATAACAGAAGCAAGGAAACACTGTGCACGATGCTAAAAAAGCACAGAGAATGACTGAAATTGTGCAGAATTTCTAATAACAATCATATGCACTTGGATTTTAAGTGCACAATCCCCAGCTAAAAAACCTTTATGGTCCAGTGTACATGACCTTGACTAATCGTTGTGAGGCCTCAGATGTCAGTAGCTCCTTCTCCCATCCACACCAGTTGTGACACCCCAAGATGTCTTTGGATATTGTCAAATGCTCCCTTGGGGTAAAAGGTCATTCCTAGTGAGAACCACAGCATTAAGTCTCTCTTCATCTCAGTTTTCCTGGCTGTGGGACAGTAATAACATTTTCTCCTGGCCTGCATAGAGGATTATTTTGTTCAAAACCTGCTGGTTTTATTCTGCCAAGGAAGAGAAAGTGGAGACAGCATTGCATACAAAGGACCAGGCCCCACGTCAGGAGATAGGACCTTGGACCTTGGATAGGACCTTGGACCTTGGATCTGTTTCTGCTGCTAACATAATACATGAGTTGGGGCCAATAACTCAACTACAGGGTTCATTTCTTCTTAAAAATCAAACTTTGTCTCTGTACTCAAATCACATTTGTAATTTCCATTGACAGCAAGAATTTTTTTTTTTAATTCTTCAAAACAAAGTTCTCCTTTCTTCCGTTTTTGTCCCTTATACATTCAGTATAGCCCTCTTATTGTGGGTTGCTGTTATTTTGCTTTCAAATAGAAGTAAGAAAACTTCATGATAATCTGGACACCCTGGGATTGCTGGACTTTCCCAAGAGAAAAAAAAAAAAATCCTGTAATCCCCTTGTCTGGGGATTGGGCCTGAGATTTTTATAGCCCAATTTTTATTTAGGCTTTTCTAAATACCGATTTGTGCATTTTATAAGATCTATACTGAAGATTTGTTTAAGAGAAAAAAGGAAAAAAAGAGGAAATTAGAAAAAAAAGAAGAAGCTTGCCCAACGTTGTGCTTCTTCTCTTAAATGGCACACCTTGATTACTCTTTCCTTTCCACCTCATTTCCATTGTGACAGTCTCCACCAAGAAAATTGCCAGGAAATGTGCCAGGAAAAGTTAAGGAGGATGCTTTGTGCCATCTGAAAATCCACTTCACTCACATGCCATTAGTAAAGCATTCCATTGCCAGCCCTAAATGGCTATGAAGCCACCAGACGTGGATTCTGAGCTCCCAGTCATACTATCAAAACGCTTCTGCCCTGACAGGTGACAAGAACAGCCTGGTCCTGGGGAGAGGGGGTGGCAGTGATAATACCCCATCATTACTGCTGCTGGTTACCTGTCCATGCCGGCTTTGCCCCATGACTAATTGGATTTGGCAGGAACCGTAGGCAGAGCTCTTTCCCCAGAGAGACGCAGTTGCTGCTGCAGGGGCCTCTGCTCCTGCAGAGAACGGTTTGCTTAGTCACTGTGAACCCTCTGAGCCTCTCACCTTCATGCCCACTTGTTCCTGGATGGTGAGATTTTATCCATAGAAGAAGAGCTGTATTGAAAGGAGCACACAAGATCTGGAAGATTCTCCAGGGGACTTTTTGATGAGGAAAGGAGAGGCCTTGGGAAGTGATGTCATTCACTCAAGGTCACACCACTAAAAAAAATGGCTGAGCTGGAACTAGATATTGCCCTTGCTCTCAGGTCATATCACTTTAGAAGGCTCCTACCAACACATTATTACAAATAACACAGCTCTCTATTGAATTGAGCAGCTGTCTCATAGAAAAGAAAAAGCCCCCAAGCAATTGAGCTCAGAACAGGTAGGTGAATTTCAATAAACAGGAATAAACGGGGAAAGGTGTAAATCAGAAGATTCCAGATAGAAGAAGTCACTGGGTGCTTTGGAAAGAGGTCCCAAAAGGATTAGGTACCACATGTGGTATAATGGTGCTAGTGATGAAAGTAGCGGTGGTAGTGGTGGTGGTGGTAGTTGTGGTGATGGTAGGTGATAATAGGTTTTTTCTTTCC